AATCCAGGCGTCACTCTGCTCTTGCTGCCTCTCATTGCCACCGGGTGGTTCCATCTCTGGCCACCTCCTGGGGTTGGGCAGGACTGCCCTTAGGGCTTTCCAGGCTGTGACCTTTCAGAAGAGGATCGGCCAGCCTGAGTTCTGAGGAGCCTCTGGTTGAGTTTGAACTGACAGCCTTTCAGCTAGTCGTCAAGTGATTAACTGTGTAGAACTCCCAGGAACTCTGAGTGTGTGTGAACTCTGAGTGTGTGTGAACTCTGTGTGTGTGTGTGTCTGGATATAGATGTGAGTGTGTTTCTGTGTATATGTCTGTGTGTGCATCTGTATGTGTCTATATCAGTGCATGTCTGTGTATATCTTTCTGTGTGTTTGTATTTGTATCTCTGTATGTCTGTGTTTGCCTCTGGACTGTGTGTCTCTGTGTGTGTGCATTTCTGTATGCATATGTCTGTGTATCTGCACGTGTCTCTGTGTGTGTCTATATGTAACTGTGTGTCTCTATTTCTGTGTGCATCTGTATGTGTCCCTCTGTGTGTGTGTGTGTGTGTGTGTGTCTATGTGGCGGGGGTGTCCCTGTGCACATGTGTATACGTGGGGAGCCATGTCCCCACATGTCCCCAGCGATAGGCGCTCTCAGTGACCCAGATCTGGGAACATCTTTTCCCCACAGCACCTGGTGGCTGCGTGGTTACCCTGGCAACGGTCCACCTGGGGATTCTGGGACCAGCTCGGCCTTTGATTGTCCCGTGAGAACCACAGTGTTTGCACGGAGACCTAATCAGAGGAGTGGCCTGGCCGTGTGCCACTACTGCAGCCTGGCCTCCTGGCCTGTCTGTGGACTCCTGGGCCAGCCCCATCAGGCAGATGAAGTGATTAACTGACCCATGGCATTCAGCTATAGCAGGGCGAGGAGAGAGGACAGAGAGCAGGGAGCAGACCCAGGGAGGCAGCCTGCCGAGGGCCCTCCACGCCCCCGCCACTCCTGTCTGGCCTGTGGCGCTAACTTCATCCCAGGGCAGAAAGGCCCTTGTGTCCAGGGACAGGCTGGTAACAAGATGAGTGTGTGGTCCTTCAGTGCTGGAGACAAATGTGACCTTTTGAACACTGGGAAGACCACCTGGGACCCAGGACCAAAGCTTAACAGGCACCCAGCCGCTCGCTCACTCATTCATACTGGCCGCAGCTCCAGAGCTGTCTGAGGGCCAGCTGATAGAACAGGCACCCTGAAGACTTAAAGTGAAGAGCTGTGGTTTAGAATGTGTGGTATTGAGCTAATGGGTAAGTCTGCTGGATTAAATAGGCAAGAGCTTCAAATTTATCCTTCTGAGTCTGAACTGAACTTCCACTGCCCGTCCCCTGCCCTGTCCCCCGCCATCCAGTCAACCTTCAGTGACCCTACAGGACAGAGCAGAACTGCCCCAGAGGGTTTCCAAGGCTGTGGTCTTACAGGATATGGTGACCTCAGCGTTCTCCCAGGGAGCCCAATGCTTTAACCCACTGTGCCACTCAGGGAACCCACGTGGAACTGTTCACGACAGGTCAGCCAGCGGTGAGTCACCTCATGCTTGCCTTGCTCACGGGGCCAGCCAACATACTGATGCGTTTTGTCTCTTGGGTTGTATCCTGGAGGGAATGATAGTCCCTCAGGAGACACATTAATATCTTTCCCCCTAGCTTGTGAGTATGACTTTATTGGGAGAGAGGAAAAAACCCAAACAAAACCCATCTTTACAGAAGTGGTTACATTAGGATAAGGATAAAGACATGAGACCATACCAGACTAGTTGTGAATTTTCATCAAATTGACCACAACTCATGGCGACCCGATGAGCAACAGATCTGAACCCTGTGTCATCCCCACACTGTGTTAATTGATCTCATTGACAGTCTTCCCCTCCTTTGCTGACCCTCCACCTTCCCGAGCATGACATCCCTTTTCAAGGACTGATTCCTCCTCACAACACGCCCGGAGTATGTGGGACCGAGTTTCTCTATCTTGGCTCCAGGGAGCGCCCAGGATACACCTTCCCAAGTCCCACTTGTCTTGTCCTTATTCATTTCCAACTAGCTGCATAGCAAGTAATTGAAAAACTGGTTTGGCTCAGGTGCACTTTAATCTTCAAGCTGACATCTTTGCTTTTTGGCGCTTCAAATCCCTGGTCATACATCTTTTGATTCCTGCCTGCTGGTGTCAAGGGCGTTGATTATGGATCTAAGCAAGATGTGACAATTTCTACCTCTTCTCCTATCATAATGTACCCTGTTGGCCCAGGGGTGAATTTTTGTTTTCTTGATGATGAGGTATAACCCATTTTATAGACTGTAGTCTTTGATCCTCTGTGGCGAGCAGAGAGATAAAAATTTTTAGAAAAAGCTGATTTGACGTCCTTATCACTTTCTACAGGCAAGGTTGTCTTCTGCCTAATGCAGGTTGTTGATGAACCATGCTCTGATTCTGATTCCATATCATTCTTCATATAATTTAGCTTCTTAGATTACTTGTTCTGCATACAGATTAAGGAGATCTTGAGGAAGGATGCAGCCTTGACCCACACTTTTCCTGATTGTATACCGTGCGATGTTCCCTTGCTCCGTTTGTACAGCTTCTAGGTCTAGTTTCTCATGAACACAATTAAGTGTTCCGGGATTCCCATTGTTCTCAGTGTTAGCTGGGCCCCACATCCACTGACCCCAAAACAAGGCTTTTCCCAAAGCTGTAATCTGTGGGGAATGAATAAGGGGGATGAAAGAAGAACTGAGGATTTGGAGTTTTGATGTTGGGGAGAGTGTATTGAATATCTTATAAATAGTCAAACAAACAAATCTTTCTTGGGTGGATGTGAAACCAGGGTGCTCCTTGGAGGAAAGGATGGTGAGACTTCATCTCAAATACTTTGGGCATGTTGTCCGGAGGGGTCATTCCTTGGAAAATGACATCTTGATGGGGAAAATAGAGGGTCAACTAAATGAGCACGGTGGAGACCTCAGGATGAGGCAGGACAGTGCAAGGTTTCAGTCTGTTGTGTGCTGAGTCATGGTTGACTGAAAGAAACTTAACTGCAATAAAAGCAATCTTCGTGGAAGCAGGTGACCCCATTGCTCTCTCATAGAGTGGCTGGTGGATTTGAACAGACAACTTTTAGGTTAGCAGCCCATCACTTCATCCACTAGCCCACCAGGGCTCAGCACTCAGGAGATGATTAATTGTCCCAAGACCTCCCTGAAGGTTGTGACACCTTCCGGGTGGGTCACAGTGACTCTCTCACGCAAGGAAACTTCCCACTCCCAGCCCTCCCCTGAATTATGTATATATTCTGAGCCGGCCAGACCGCCTCCCACAAGAGCTCAGCAAGGTAATGATGAGGAGAGCCAATGGTCTGTAAATTACAACATTGATTACAAAAGTGATTACTGATGGAACTCTTCTCGGCTGATATGCTAATGCCTGCTGTCCAGCTCCAGGGCTCAGTTTATGCTAATGACCAGCCTGGGACAGCCACGGAAATTGCTTTCCGTCCTTAGTCAGCGTGTAAACATTTTTGAACCGTTCTTGACCATGAACGAGAAGATCCATCCACGTGTCCCCTCCCAACTGCTCCTGTTGCTGTCCCAGCCAGATGGGCTGTCTCTCAGACCAGCCTGCACCTCACCAGCTGCCCTTCAAACACTGAGGATGAAAACTGGGCCCAGAGTGACCATTCCTAGTGCCCCAAACTGGATAGAGATGGTGTCAGGCCACAGAGACTTGCTCCTCAGCACCGAGGGTTTCTCAGCCCTCACCCACCAGGGCGTCCTGCTCCTGTCAGGGCCCAGAGTCCAAAGGGAGACGGACAAGCAAGGGGGTCGCTGGTGGCTGCCCCATTCTCAGCCCATCTTAAAACTTTCTGTTTTGTATTTGACCAGTAAGAATGAGCTGTGTATGTTTTTAAAGGGTTGAAGAACGATTCAAACCACTGTCAAGAATTCTTTAGGAAGCTTTCAGATTAGATGTAGGTGCTTCTCAGTCTCTTGGCGCCATCTCATCTCAGGCTCTCATCTTGCCCCACGAGGTCCTTGCTGGGTTGTCTTAAGCAGAGATCCTCATGAAGAGAGGTTTGTTCTATGACCTACCCATTCTTCCGTCTATCCATCTATTCATCCATCCATCCATCCATCCATCCATCCATCCCCTCATTCATTTAATCATGCATCTTTCTGTCCATCCATTGATCTACCCATCCATCCATCCATTCAGCCATCTATCCATCCAGTCATCCAGCTGTCCATCCAATCATCCATCCACCCATCCATCCATCTACTCATCCATCTGTCCATCCATCCATTCAGCCATCTATCCATCCAGTCATCCAGCTGTCCATCCAATCATCCATCCACCCATCCATCCACTCATTCATTTATTCATGCATCTCTCTGTCCATCCATTCATCCACCCCTCCATCCATTTACTTATCCATCCATCCATCCATCCATCCATCCATCCATCCAATCAAACATCCGTCTGTCCACTCATTCATCCATCCGTCCACTCATTCATCCACCCATCCGTCTATTCATCCATTCCCTCATTCATTTATTCATGCATATCTGTCTATCCATCTACTCATCCATCTATCCGTCCATCCATCCATCTGCTCATTCATTTATTCATGAATCTGTCCATCAATTCATTCACCCCTCCTTCCATTTATTCATCCATCTGTCCATCCGTCCATCCATCCATCCACCCACCCAGCCATCCATCCATCCATCCATCCATCCATCCACCCACTCATCCACGTATGCCTAGCCATCCATAACCTGTTCTCTCACCCTTGCTCCTCCTTGCCCTGTTCCTTGGGATTTCTTCCCAAGTAAAGGCCACTGAGCCTCTGTCTCAGGCTCTGCCTGAGGAGGAGCATCAATGAGCACAGTGTGCTCTGCCGCAGAGCAGGACAGAGGGAAGAGAGGAGGTCTCCCAGGCCACCCGAGCGCCTCCTCCACCCCGCCTTCTCTCTGCACAGGTGTCGGACCGCTGTGACTACATCTTCGTCAACGGCAAGGAGATGAAAGGCAAGGTGGACGTGGTGGTGAACTTCACCTACCAGCACCTGAGTGCTCCCCTACACATCACCGTGTGGGTGCCCCGGCTGCCCCTGCAGATCGAGGTCTCGGACACCGAGCTGAGCCAGATTAAAGGCTGGAGGGTCCCCATCGGGACCAGCAAGAGGTGAACTTGGGACAAGAGAAGCCTTCAAACCAAACCAATCACCACTGGGTAAACTGCGATTTAAAGAGGCTTGTGTGCCTGAGGGTAAAACTGCTGTGGCACTGAGAGCGGATGAGTCTTTGTAAGTAGATTGTCAGGCCTCTCTGGATGGAGTTGAACCTCCAGCCTTTCTGTTGGTGGTTGACCCCTTGATCCTTTGTGCCTCCCAGGGGTTCTGAGAGATGTCCAGCACCATGGTAGTGCTTCCCTTGCAGACCTGGTGCATGGCAGGTGTTGGTATTGCCACGAGGATTATCCCCTCCCTAAATCAGTCCCCTGAAAGTGGCCCAGAACATCACGCAGGAAGCCACACCTCTCCCCAGGGAATCAGGTCCAGCCCACTTCCTCCACAGGGTTGGTGAGTTCCTTTCTGTGCTCTATGAATATCCATAAGCTTGGGACGCTCTCCGCACATCACATTAGGAGATAAAATGTCATTATATTTGTAGTAAACTGTTACTTAAACAGAATCAAACCAGTGCAAGAGCCCCATCCCTGTAGACCCCAAGTCCCCATGTGTTAACTGAGTGAGGGAAGGTAACTGAGCTTCCAGTTCCTTGCCTGGAATCTTCCATCCCAAACCATCAGGGCAGTTTTCCTGGCGGTCCCCCCAGGCACAAGGATTTCCATTTAAGGGCCCAACCAAAGCCCAGCCCTGCCATCAAGTTGCTTCTGTCCAACTGCCCCAGAGGTTTCCAAGGCTTTCATCTTATGGAAGCAAATGGCCTCTTTCTCCTTCAGAGCAGCTGGTAGATTTGAACTGCCAGCCTTTTGGTTGACATCTCAATACTTAATCCACTACACTACCTAGATCCCTTTGAGTCTAATATTTCAGACACAGACAGAGAGTACTAACCTTGGAACCACAGTCACCCCCTGTGGCTCACTTTTCAGGCAGCTGATAGACAGACCTCTCAGGTGACCAGTAACAGCAGGGAGATGCATTGGAACAACAGACCCTGTGAAACCAAACGGCCATGTCTGCCCAGGGAGGAAGCTCAGAGAGCAGGAAACGAAGGAAGAAGGGAAATGGGAAACTGAGGGCGGAAGTGGGAAGGATGCTGTTATGTTGGGACCACAATCAGTGTCACAAAACAAAAGGGTATGAAGGATTGACCAAGAGCCAGTTAGCTGAAGTTTTTACCTAAAGCATAATTTAAGTGTAAAAAGAAGAGAGAAGGAGAGTGCAGGGGAGGGAGGAAGGACCAGAAAGCTCTGCTGGCCCTCCGCTGCCCGCGGTCGAAGCTGCTGCTCCAGTGTGGTCTGACTGTCCTGCTGTGGAAGTGGCCTCGGAGGTTGGGGCAGGTGGACCCCTGCCTGCAGTCTTGGGACCCCAAGGCCTGGGCCCCTCCCCGGGGCTGAGCTGTCCCTCTGCTCTCCCCCAAGGCCCACCCGGGACAGCGAGGATGAGGATGAGGAGGAGCGGCGACGCCGGGGCTGCGCCCTGCAGTACCAACACGCCACAGTGCGGGTTCTCACCCAGTTTGTGGCCGAGGGTCCCGGCCCATGGGGGCAGCTGAGCCACCTGCTGAGCCCTGACTGGCAGCTCGATGTCACCCACCTGGTGGCTGACTTCATGAAGCTGGAGGAGCCTCGCATTGCCACCCTCGAGGACAGCAGGGTCCTGGTGGGCCGAGAGGTTGGCATGACCACCATCCAGGTAGGAGCTGGGATTCCTGCATCCCCAGCACTGACCAGTAGAGGGCGAGCATGAGATGGCCAGGTCACCACTGTGGTGGAGCCTTGACCACCATGATGGCTCCCAGTGGCCACCACTGGGTTAATCATTCCATCTCCTTGAGGGTCTTCTTTTTCACTGGTTCTGAACTTTACCAAGCATGGTGGTGTTAGCCAGGGACTGGTCCTTCCTGCACGTTGCCCAAAGTACATGAGAAGGAGTCTCACCATCTTCATTTCTAAGGAACATTCTGGCTGCACTGCTTCCAAGGCAGATTTGTTCATTCTTCTGGCCGTCCATGGGGTGTTGAATATCCTTCCCTGACATTGTAATTTAAGGGCATCAATTCTTGGATCTCCCATATTCATTGTTTAGCTTTCTCACACGTATGAGGTGATTGAAAATAACTTGGGTCAGGTGCACCTTAGTCTTCAAAGTGATAGTATTGCTCTTTAACACTTTAAAGAGATCTTTTGCAGACCTCTCCAATGGAATACATCCTTCCCACTTAGTCCCCACTCTCTCTGTTATCTCTAGAACCTCTAAGTGTAACTCTCTTCTCTACTTTACCACCAGTACTTGGAGGGACCTCCTCTTCCTCCCTCCTTTCTCTCAGTCACTCTTCTGCCACTGATTCATTCAGCAAGCTTCTTTTACATACACACATACCTCCCACCTATCTTTTGCTCCAAAGCTGTGCATACCTGGTGGGATTCCAGGAAAGATAGAGGATGTTTGAACCAGAGAAGAACTTGACTCGTCAAGTCATGCCCAGCCCAACTGCCTTTGTGGTGTCCTGCAGCCTCTCCATGGCCACTCTGTATGGACACGGCTGGTGCCTCCCGGTCATTCCGATGTGCGCCCTGAGCCTGGCCATGCTGCTGAGGAGAGGCAGAAGATGCAGCTTCTGCTGAGGATGTGCCGTGTTGCGGGGACAGGCGGGGTGTGGGTGTTGAAACCCACACAGGGAGCCCTTGCTTCATTATAATTGGCTGGTTTTGAGCTTTGCGGTTACTATATGCTTAACCAAGTGAAGGTTGGTGACGACCCTGCCCTGAGCACGTCTGGTGCTGTTTTTCCAACAGCACGTGCAAACTTTGGGTGGTCTCTGCAGCACATTTTGGTTGTTCTCATAATATCTCGAACTTTTTCACAGTATCATTGCATTTACCAGCCAGACCCCAAAACCAAACCCACTGGCGACTCTCCACTGAGTCTGTAGATGTTTACGGGAGAAGCCTGCCCATGTTTCTCCCGAGCTGGTGGATTTGAGTCCCTGACTTTTGAGATAGCAGCCTGGCTCATCACTCACTAGGCCACCAGGGCTCCTTTAACCGACCGCAGTGGAGTGTCACCATGACTTTCACATGGGCTGGGAAACGAAAACATCGCTGTGACCCGCTTTATTATGGTGCTTTGGAATTGAACCTTTGGCATCCCCAAGGGCTGCCTGTGTTTCAGTCCATGGTCCCGGAGTTCTTGTGGAATGTGATAGGGCCGTGCAAAGCCAGCCTTTGTCCGAATCTCCACCAGTCCAGTCCAGTCCACAGGCTCGACACAGGTGCTTAACCAGGCTGTGTACTGCACAGAGGCATCTCACCTGAAGGAAGGAGAGCCACTCCTTTTTAGAGATTGCACAGGTACTAATACCGTTTGAATTTGCTGGTGGTTCATCTGAATTCACACAGGCTTAGTGTGGACTTGGGGGGGCGGATGACGCTTCACCTGAGTTCTGGGGAGAAGCACCATTGCTGATCCCAGCACCTGGCCTCAGGTGTGATGGGTTGTCTGTGTCCCACCTGCCCCACAGGTATTGTCCCCACTGTCAGACTCTATCCTGGCTGAGAAGACGGTGACAGTGTTAGATGACAAAGTGACCGTGACGGATCTGGCCATTCAGCTGGTGGCTGGGCTGTCCGTCACCCTCCACCCCAGCTCGGACAACAGCAAGGCCATCACGGTTGTGGCCACCGCCGAGGAGCAGCTGCGGACCCCCAAACAGGTAGGGGGTACGTCCGAGGGCGAGAGGGAACAGGGTGGGACCCCCGCCTGCCGCAGCATAAAGGAAGCGGTAAGGGGTGGGGAATGGGTCAGCTGTCCAGGCCACACTCCACATGGGCTGGGACACCGCAGATGAAGACGCTGCTCTCTAAGGCTTGTCCACATGATGGGAAGTTCACAGATAGTCGGGTCCATCCTCCCACTGCTCCTGTCTCCCCTCCTCTCTGCAGCCAGAGATCTTTGAAAACTGTACACCAGGGGATGTCTTTCTCCCTTTCAAACTGCTCCCCAAAGGCTCAGAATAAAACCCCTTGGCATAAAACTTAGTGTCCTCACTGTGGCTGGGTGAAAGTCCAGCTGCTGGACAAAAGGCTAGAGGTTCGAATCCACGCAGAGGTGCCTTGGGAGAAAACTCTAGTAATAGACTGAAAACCTTGAGGAGGATATGTGGAAATGAGACTCACAGGGAGGAAGCGGGATGAGTGTGATTATATTGTGTGGCCTGTGGTTAAGGTTATATGACATGTGAATGGTGGAATGGAAAACCAGACATCCCTGTATGTCCCCACGCCTGGGCCACTATGAACTGAGTTTGCCAGTCCCATCTGGTTTATTACCGAGGAGCACAGATAATCCTGTGGCTTCTCCCCAAGTGTTCACGAGGAGCCCAGATAATCCTGCGGCTTCTCCCCTGTGTGTGCACGCATCAAGCACCCACTACATTAAGCTTTGGGCTGTGGAAAGGTTGTCAGTTCGAATGCACCAGCTGCTCTCTGGGACAGTGGCTCTGTCTGCTTCCATAATGATTAACAACAACCATAGCATCAATTCAAGCCCACAGGACCCTCTGTCTGTCGGAGGCTGTGCATCTTTTCTGGAGGAGACTGCTTGTCTTCCTCTGGAGGAGCGGCTGGTGAATTCTAACCACCGGGCTTCCATCTAGCAGCGTCTACAACTCCAGGGGGCCTTGGGAACTCCATGGCCAGTTCTTCTCTGCTACAGGATCCTTGTGTGTGAGCGAGAATGGACGGGAGGGCAGGGGCAGAAGAGGGATAGCAGAAAACTGGCTGCCATGCGCTGAGGGTGGGCAATGATTGAGGGTGGACAGTGGCATTGCCACATCCAGGGCTTGGGACAGGGCTGCCACCTACCCACCACACACCCATGTCTTCTCAGTCTCTGGTGTAACCTGGGGGGCTTCACTTTGGACAGGGGTTCGCAGCTACTGTATGTCTTATCTGTAGGCGAGGCCCCTGCAGGCCGTGCTCAGAACCACTCCTGAGTCCATGCTCATCAGAGCCAACCCGTGTCACCTCCTGTTCTCTCACTGAGCAGTGGGAGAGCCGGCTGGTGGCACGGCATGTGGCAGGCTGGGGCGTTGAGGGATTTGTTCACACTCTCAAGCTATGCTAGGGGCTTGCTGCAGTCCCCTCTCCCCGGCCTAGTGGACATGGAGAAATGCTGATTGCAGGTGAGGAGCCAGAGGGCAGGTCTGCCACGGGGCTAGCTGTGTGCCCTCCACCTGATCAAGCCAACCTCTTTCTTGGTAACTTCCACCAGAAACCCAACAGCCTTCCAAAACAGCAAGCAGGGTGGTCCTCTCGCTTGTCCCTGAGAGAGCTAGACCCCAAACCAAGCCAATGTCTGTGAGGTCAGCTCTGACTCATGGTCCTTCATGTGTGTAAGATGACTGCCCTCCATTGCGTGGTCAGTAGGTGGTTTTCAGAAGGAGTCCACCGGCCTTTCTTTGGATAAAAATTTACAGATCAAGTTGGTTTTTCCATTCAACAATTCGTCTACATTGTGCTATGTGGTACTGAATACAGTCCCCACGGTGTGGCAGCACGCTACCCACTGCTTCCTTGTGTTGCTTGTTTCCATTTGTCCTTCCTTCCTCTTCCTGCCTGCCTTTCTTCTGTGGCATCTGTGGATAGAACTGAACCTCTGGCTTTTCATTTAGCAGCTGAGTGTGTTCCCGTTTGTACCCTGCTGGAATGCCCTCTCCTGAGCACACTGTCTTACTCTGGCCACTTGAGTGAACATGTTTCAGGATGTGTCTGTAAAGCCAGTTGGCACTGGGGTTTCTATTTCCTGGTGCGGATGGTGCTGGGGCTGAGCTGGCGACGGAGCCTGGGTGGTGCTGTGGTTAAAGCCTCTGGCTGCTACCCTCAGGGCAGCAGATTAAACCACCAGCTGCTCCGTGGTAAAGGATGAGAGGCTACTACCATAAAGATCACGGCCCCGGGATCCCCGTGGGGTGACCCTGCTATGTCCTGCACGGTCACTGTGAGTCAGGAGAGACTGGACAGCAAGGGCTTTGGTTTTGGTCATTTGATTGATGATTGAAGAAGCCGTGGTGGTGCAGTGGTTAAAGCGCTTCACTACCAACCAAAAGGTTGGTGGTTTGAACCCACTGGCCGCTGTGAGGGACAAAGATGTGACAATCTACTTCCTTTAAAAAACAAACAAAAAACCCAAACCAAGGGCCCTGCTGCTGAGGGGGTTCCACACATGGGGACCCTTCACTGGGATTCCCAGGGCTGTGAATCCTCACGGGAGCAGACTGCCTCCATCCTGAAGCCCAGTGGACATTCTGTCATGGTCGCTGGAGTCAGAATCCCTCCAGTGGTGAGTTCAGTTTTGATGAGGGGTTCACCAGCCCCTGAGTCAGAGCTGGTCTAGGCAGCCAGTGTCACTGCAGGAGTGACCTGTCCCAGTGGTTCTATCTCTTTCTCTGTCTCTTTCTCCCCTCCCCCCATCAGGAAGCCTTGGTCAGCACTTGGCTGCAATTCAATGATGGCTCCGTGACCCCCCTGGACATTTATGACACCAAGGACTTCTCACTGACCGCAACCTCTCTGGACGAGGCCATTGTCTCGGCCTCCCAGGGCCGCTCCCCACGGTGGCCAGTGGTGGTGGCTGAGGGCGAAGGCCAGGGACCGCTGGTCCGGGTGGACATGACCATTGCCGAGGCCTGCCAGAAGTTCAAGCGCAAGAGTGTGCTGGCCGTGGGCATCGGTAATGTCAGGGTCAAGTTTGGACAGAGCGGCAGCGATTCCAGACCCAGTGAGGACAATGGGGATGAGGACATCGAGAACCATGCCAGTGACCGCCGGCAGAAGGGCCAGGACGGACACCCCCTGGGTAGCTCCTCTGGGGGGCGTGAGGAGGGGGCCCTTCGGAAGGCTAGTACCACGGCCCGGTCACTGCTGGACAAGGTGGTGAAGACCAGCCAGCTGGACGGGGGCTGGCCACCCAGGGAGGGCCAGCTGCAGAACATCCCCATCGACTTCACCAACTTCCCGGCCCAGGTGGACGCCCCCCGGGCAGGGGCCGGGCTGGAGGAGAACGGGCTGGTGCCCACGCCCCGCGGCCTGAGCGACCTGGAGATTGGCATGTATGCGTTGCTTGGCGTCTTCTGCCTGGCCATTCTGGTCTTCCTCATCAACTGTGCCACCTTCGCCCTCAGGTTCCGGCACAAGCAGGTGCCCTTGGAGGGCCAGGCCCCCATGACGCACTCCCACGACTGGGTCTGGCTGGGCAATGAGGCGGAGCTCGTGGAGAGCTCTGGGGACCTGTCTCCGCCCCAGGATGAGCACACCACCATCCTGGACCGTGGGCTGGGGGGCTGTGAGGAGAGCAACCGTCTGCTCCACGCCGCCTCCCAGAAGCACCCTCAGGGCCAGCCGTGCCGCAGGGACCCCGGGGGCCAGGAAGAGCCCTCACACTCGCCCACCTCCAGGAGGAAGAGGGTCAAGTTCACCACCTTCACCACCATTCCCCCGGACGACGGCTGCCCCACGGTCAACTCCATTCTGGGTGGGAATGAGGAGGACATCAAGTGGGTGTGCCAGGACACAGGCGTCTCCAAAGACCTTTGCACCTACCTGGACAAATTCAAGGAGAAGCCGTAGACTCCCTTCGGCCCGCACCGCAGACCTTGGACCCTGGACCCCCTTGCTCCTGGCCCACCAGCTGGGAACAAGTGGGACAGAGGGGTTGGACTGGCCAGGGCAGGCAGGACCCAGACTCCCTGGTGGCCAGCTGGCCCTGCTGCTGAAGGTATACGGGAGACCAGAGGGCCATTTTGCCATTCAAATGCAGACCAGGTGGCTGTTTTGAAGCCGGGAAAGGATGCTTTTGTATTGAGGGATTTTTTTGTTTGTTTGTTTCCCTGCTAATGGATGATGGTGGGACTTTGGACAGTGGTGGACTTTTGGAAGTCAGCAGGACAGACTCAGGAATGCTGACCATCACCAAGAGACCGAGATGATGAACCGGACTGGGCCAGCGAGGAAGAACATTTTGTGAATCAAAATATTATAATACAGACAAGCTACCAAAAAGTATTTGTTTAAAAATGCTGAAAGACAAATAAAAAGGGACAGAAACCAGAATCTGTTTATATTTCTAATAAAGGAGCAAAATGGAAAACTAGGGATTTCTAAGCGGTGTCTTCCCTTCTGATTCCTCATGGTGGTTCTCATTCCTCACAGTCTGTTCTGGTTCTTCACAGCAATTCTGGTTCCTTATGGCCTGTTCTGGTTCCTCACGCTGGTTCTGGTTCCTCACGCTGGTTCTGGTTCCTCACGCTGGTTCTGGTCCCTCACACTCATTCTGGGCCGGGCCCATCTTCGGGAGGAGGGGCCGGTGGGCATTCCTGAGCAGGTCGTCTGTGTTCAGTGAGGGAGAGGCCTGGGGAGTTTCACATCCTTCCTTCCCCATCTCTTTCTTCCCATTCCCACTTTCCTTTAATGTCTGTTGATCTCTGTTGATTTCTGAGTGTCTGAAGGTGGGTTTTCCCACACTTAAACCCAAATCATGTTACTCTTCATCAGGCGAGTTCTCTGACGCAGCATCAGTGAATTCATTCTTTGCAAAGTAGTTTGGATGCAGGTCTGTGCACCCTCCGCTCCAGTGGTGGTGGCATTTACTCTTGTTTTATAATTGTAAGGAGTTCCCAAACCCTCCTGGGAGGAATCTTGGGGGCTCCTTGACACCACCTCCAACACCCTCCAACACCACCATGGAATAAAGACAGCCAGATGGGGTGTAACCTTAACCCTACCTACCATCAGCATTGCCATCACTGCTGCCGAGATCACCACCATCATCACTATCACTATCACCACATCACCACCACCACCATCACCACTATCACTATCACCACCATCACTGCTATCACCACCACCATCACCTTCACTATCACCACCATCACTGCTATCACCACCACCA